ACTACATTAATATAGGAAAGCGAAGGGACAACAGTCTACAAGGCAAATTTTCTTTAGAACGAGAGCTTTGCTTTTCTGCATGCATCAGGAAGNAAAAAGTCTTGTAATCTGCGTTTCTCTCCTTACAACCAGAACCATTTCTTTCTGCTTCCGAGGAACCTCTGGGTAGAGTTCAAGCAATTTATAGAAAGAGCCAAGGGCCTACAATCCTGAGTCACATCAATCGTCAGCAGCTGATAAAAGAAAATTACTAGCCAAGCCTCTCCTCCCCCCTCTGCCGCCTCATTACCACCCTTTTACCAATTTTCAAAAAAAAATTCCAAAAACCACTATTTACTATGCACTATTTACTATATACTATTAATCATTTGGTTCGCTATTTTTTTAGATTCAGTGAATTTGTGATGTAAAACATTCGTTTTTAAGATCGAGGCGATTTGTTTTTGCCCGAACACCTGAGCTGTTTTTCTAATGCATTGGGTACCCACAGTGTTCGACAACATCCAACGAGTAAATTTTTTTCGAAAGTCCGACGTGAAGTTTGAAAGTTCGTCCTGATTTTTTCCTACCTCTAAATCCAGTATTGTTTCCGTCTCAATGATGGAAACGATTGTTGGTGTTAATGGTCACAGTTGTCAGCCGATGGATTTGATTTGGTAAACATACGGTTCCTAAAAATATAAAAGTGAATTCTCGGGCAGGTCGACACATCGAATCTGACAAAGTCACGGAAAAGCTTATTCTGGAGATTATATGCCTTGCAACCATGTGGGTTTCTTATAGTATTCGTCAGTTTTAAGCCAGAGGTGATGTAATGGTACATGGCACCCTATCACACACGCATAGTCCACAGTTCGAGTCCCGGATCGCTACTCGCCTAAGTCAACCAAGCCTCACATTCTTTCGGGTTAGTTGATTGATAACAGGTTCTGCACATCAGCTGACCACAAAAGTGTTTGTATAGGTCACACACTCGTATAAATTACCATTACGATTTAGAATGAAAGTGGAATGCGAGGGCGCATCCCGACAGTGAGACGGATTCACCCCAAAGATTTTATCCTTTATTGCTTTTTTCGTCAACTTTGGTTTCATACCTACTCCCGAGGGACCGCTTTCCTCCAGCTACTTACATGCTGTAGTCCTGGGTACCTTCTTTACCTCTTCATCCTAGAAATGGCTGCGAATATAAAAATAGCAAAGTTTTCGTACCAGTAGGAGCTCAGAAGTACACTTCTCATATCAGCTCCCTTATCGCACTTGTCATTATGAAGAGAAGTGCACAAAGGTGGACACACATATAGACAGACAAACCAGCAGACAAGCAAACAAATAAATCAACTAACAAGGAAGTGCTTGCTGCAGAAGGGCGACAGGAAACCTGAGACGTCTGCAAATTGCAACAGTAAACTTACTCTCTTACGACTTGCTGAGTGAGAGGAGTCAGAAAGTTGAACTTCTCTGTAGTTATATGAAGAATGATTACTACTTACTGAACTCCAGATCTATTTCAAACTGCTATATGTGGATGTCAATTGCTTAAATAACTTCACACCAATACAGCTGATAAAAAGTGAAGGTACCCTCCGAGGGGCTAATTCGTATTATTTCGGTCCTTTAATGAAACTTTTCTTTTGAAGCTAGCCGAAATTCATCCTTATATTGAATTTAACTGAAAAAACCTGAATGTGGATGTTGTTTATAGCAACAAATGGTTTAATTTTGCTAAGTATATGTATAAGTAGTTTTTGGAGCGATTGACACCGAATATTCCATTTTCTTCTATCATTCAGAATGAAAAAGGTTTAATGACTCTTGTTCGTGTTCCGTTCGAAAGTTTCTGGTCCCTACCCCAGCCGGTATAGGCAATGAGAGCCTTTGGGTGAAGTACGAAAAATCTTGGAATTCAAGGAGCTCCCTGCATCGAAATCGTTTCCAGCGATAGCTTGAATATTTCAGCGAATAAAATTCCATCCAGCTCCATAGCTATGGAGTTCGACAAAGAAATTTGAAAATAGCTGATACCTATTTCAATCCCTAAAAAGATCCAAGCGGCTGGGAAGTACCACAAGCTAGCTATGGAGCTATCGTTCTAGAGGTTCTTCTGAGCCGCTTCTACATATCCTTTTATGGATTGGACTGTTCCTCTGAAACCCTAAAGTAATCACGGCAAAACTCACTAGGACTCTTTTTTTCAAATTCTACCTGCAATACTATGGTGGCTCCACCTGTACTTCCACTTTCATCTTTTTGGTTTAGAGCCAATAAGTTGTTGCAGTCCTAGTATTTGAATAACATAGAAAATGTGCAAAACAAGGAACTCTGAACTCCATAGACCACCACCTGACTGTAATAACTTGCGGTCAAACACTGATTGATAACAGCTATACATCTTTTGGAGGCCATTGGAAGGTTCAAAGTGGACGATCAACCTTAGTTTCAATGCAAGACATTTCACGTGTTGTAATGCCAGACCTTCAAAATCCGTCGATTCTCAACAGCCAGTTTGGAATCTCGGAAAAACAGTTTCACGAATCAATTCCTAGATCCTACGATCTCCTGCTACAAGCAACTGGGTAGGCTGAAAGGGTAAAGACTATGGGGCTCCCAGAATATCATCGAACCGAAATGAATCCATGCCCTGCTGCTTCCCTTGCTCCTACTTTGCCTGAGGTGGAGAGAAGTTGTAATCTTCGTGGAAATTGCATCAAAATTGTCACTACAATACCTTTTTTACTCGCTCTAGAGGAATCTAAACGATGAAATGAAAAGGGGTGAGATTTCCAACCACGATACACAAATTTCTTATCGCCTTTCTCTCATGGAAATCTGTCATAAGGCGATGGTCGATAAGAAAATGCTGATTTTTTGAAAAATCCATGCCTGAGAAGTTCAGATATATGAATGTTTCTTGTATTTTATTCTTTGGAATTCTTGAGATAAAGGGAAATGCTTGAAGGGAATGTGATGGGAAAAATGTTAAGCACCTACGACGGCTGATCGAAGTCTATAGTCCAACACCTGACTGTAACTACGAGTTTGGAAACGAATGGGTCTGAACTTCTTCCCATTTACCTCGTATGGGGTAGAAATGGGTTCTGCGACTACCTCTTTTACATCACATGCATAGTTCAGGCTCTGAGAATCAAGCCCTTTCCGCCAGTTCATTACGCCACTTACAGGTGCCTGAAACACAAGTTGTCGCTTTTTGGAACAACAGTTGGTTGGTGTCGGCTTTCAGACGCTCACTCAATTGCGATACCTGATCTGAACTTCCCAAGTTGAACGTAACCAACTGGTCACGTTGAATCATTTGCAATTTCTAAAATTATGTCTTCAAGAGGACAAAACCTTCCCAACCACCACTTCGGACCCAAATTCATGGGATACCTCCCAGGAAGCCAGATTATCAACCGTGCATTCATTACCCCCATTAACTTTCTTATGAT